AGTCAAGAAAGGCGCAGTTTTTGGGGGGGGGGGGGGGGGCGGTAGGGTTACAGCAATACAAATCCAATGCAAAAACAAACAAGTCAAGATTCAATAAATCAGAACACGGAGTCATGTGACAAGGAAATCTTTACAAACATGGATGTTATATAAAGTACAAGGTTATGTAGGACAGGAGACTGTAAAAAGTAAGGCAAGACACTGGACGGATCACCTAGAAGGAACGGGGAACACCGGGTCACCCGGAAATGAATGCATACCCATTATTGGCATAACGGCGGCCATTTTATCACCTAGACAATGGCTCAGCCTATTAAGGAACTGCTGACATCACAGAAGGAATTGCTGACATCACAGAAGGAACTGATGACATCACAGACGGCTTAGCAAATCATCTGCCCGAGTTCTCAAAAAATAGGGCCCAGGTTCTAAAAATGGCTGCAGCCTCTGCGTGTAGTTAATAGTGAACGTGTCAGGAAAGAAAAATGGGAGCCGCCATTGCTGGCCTTGCCTTTTAGAGTCCTCATCCACCATGGAGCCTACAGGGTCTCTAAACCAAGTCAGCAAGGGTAGATCCCATATTTGTAACCTCATGGTTCCCCTTTAAGGAAGTCACCAATCACCGCCATTATGTACTTTAATACTCCACCAAGGGAATCACTTAATTTGAGTGTTGGGGTGGCCAATCGTTGACTGTCCTTTACCTTGATAACCCCACCCATTCATGGATCTGAGTAGGGAACGTCAACCCCCTCAAAGATATTGTTGGGTGGGTGAACTGAGCATTTCTTCCATCCATGGAGGGGGCCCTGTTATGGGTTACTGATTGAGGCAACCAGTTCCCTGGGCCTACACCATGGGGGTACACAAACAGTTCCCTGGGCCTCCACCATGGGGGTACACAAACAGTTGCCTGGGCCTCCACCATGGGGGTACACAAACAGTTCCCTGGGCCTCCACCATGGGGGTATACACACAGTTCCCTGGGCCTCCACCATGGGGGTGCAGAAACAGTTCCCAGGGCCTCCACCATGGTGGTAGACACACAGTTCCCTGGGCCTCCACCATGGTGGTATACACACAGTTCCCTGGGCCTCCACCATGGGTATACACTAACAGTTCCCTGACCCTCCACCATGGGAGGAGGTTGCCTGATCAGAGACATGAAGGACCAGGTGAACCTCTACACCATCAATGAATGAGATTGAGACATTGAGTAGCCTCCTAACACAAGGTAAAGGACACTGTAGTGGAGGCAAGAACCTTCTAAAATTTGGACTATCCAATGGAAGATTGGGTCTGGAAGTTCTAACAGATTCACTTTGAGATACGGCTTCATGTGTCCAAGTTATTTTACTTCGTTGGTGGTGTTTTGTCCATTCAGAAGGCTCCACCATTGGCCCATGACTGAGCCATAAGGCCGTTTCCTAAAGTATATCTAAAGCCAAAGATGAAGCAATACCAATGGGCCAACTTGGGGAATTCTTACAAAATTACAATTGAAGTTTGATCGGGAAAAGGTAGAAGATTCCTGCCCATGCATAGGATTTTCTTGAGATGTTCTCAGGTCTTCAGCCACCATGAAAAACAGCAGGTTAGAAAAACTAGTGCTTAGGGTATTATGGAACCAATGTATCTACAGCCTTGGCATTGTTCCTTCCCAGATGGTTCCGGGGGTTCCTTCTTGGCTTGCCAAGTCCTTAATAGTACGACTCCTTCTCCACCCATCCTGGAAATGGAAGAAGAAAGTAATTAGAGAATGCAGGAAGAGGAGGCCTCCAAACCAAAATGGGCAACTGAACATCTGAGTGGACATTTCCCTTCTTGAGGGTTTATTGACCCCCCAACGTCAGGTCCAGGTCAACCTCAGCACTCCTTGGAGGACAGATGTCAGAGCTTGTCTACATGAGGAGCCCATGACTGTTCTACAGGACTGAGGAGACTCTGAGTGAAGGTTCTTAGAATGGGGCCACCTACCCCATGGATGGTAGTCATCATCGTGATCATGAAGACTAACATCTAGCATTTAGATAGCATAGCTCTGACATAGACCGCAGGGTGTACAGAGAACACTGAGCCACTCACATCAGTCTCTGTACAGAGGAGCTTACACTCTAATGCCCCCTCCCCCCACAGTCACATCAGTCTCTGTACAGAGGAGCTTACACTCTAATGCCCCCTCCCCCCACAGTCACATCAGTCTCTGTACAGAGGAGCTTACACTCTAATGCCCCCTCCCCCCACAGTCACATCAGTCTCTGTACAGAGGAGCTTACACTCTAATGCCCCCTCCCCCCACAGTCACATCAGTCTCTGTACAGAGGAGCTTACACTCTAATGCCCCCTCCCCCCACAGTCACATCAGTCTCTGTACAGAGGAGCTTACACTCTAATGCCCCCTCCCCCCACAGTCACATCAGTCTCTGTACAGAGGAGCTTACACTCTAATGCCCCCTCCCCCCACAGTCACATCAGTCTCTGTACAGAGGAGCTTACACTCTAATGCCCCCTCCCCCCACAGTCACATCAGTCTCTGTACAGAGGAGCTTACACTCTAATGCCCCCTCCCCCCACAGTCACATCAGTCTCTGTACAGAGGAGCTTACACTCTAATGCCCCCTCCCCCCACAGTCACATCAGTCTCTGTACAGAGGAGCTTACACTCTAATGCCCCCTCCCCCCACAGTCACATCAGTCTCTGTACAGAGGAGCTTACACTCTAATGCCCCCTCCCCCCACAGTCACATCAGTCTCTGTACAGAGGAGCTTACACTCTAATGCCCCCTCCCCCCACAGTCACATCAGTCTCTGTACAGAGGAGCTTACACTCTAATGCCCCCTCCCCCCACAGTCACATCAGTCTCTGTACAGAGGAGCTTACACTCTAATGCCCCCTCCCCCCACAGTCACATCAGTCTCTGTACAGAGGAGCTTACACTCTAATGCCCCCTCCCCCCACAGTCACATCAGTCTCTGTACAGAGGAGCTTACACTCTAATGCCCCCTCCCCCCACAGTCACATCAGTCTCTGTACAGAGGAGCTTACACTCTAATGCCCCCTCCCCCCACAGTCACATCAGTCTCTGTACAGAGGAGCTTACACTCTAATGCCCCCTCCCCCCACAGTCACATCAGTCTCTGTACAGAGGAGCTTACACTCTAATGCCCCCTCCCCCCACAGTCACATCAGTCTCTGTACAGAGGAGCTTACACTCTAATGCCCCCTCCCCCCACAGTCACATCAGTCTCTGTACAGAGGAGCTTACACTCTAATGCCCCCTCCCCCCACAGTCACATCAGTCTCTGTACAGAGGAGCTTACACTCTAATGTCCCCTCCCCCACAGTCACACACTATTATTATACATATATAGCTCTGACATATACCGCAGTGCTGTACAGAGTACAGAGGTGTAGGGGGTGACCCAGGGTTGGCAGTATATTATCTGTGGTCTGTATACATGAAGGGACAGGAAGTTGGGGTCCCTGGGTGCACTCTTACCTCCGGGGTCACGACGCAAGATCAATTTGCGCACTTCGTCATACACGAAGATGAGTAAGCTGTAGGGGAAGGCACAGAACCACCACGTCACCCTGACAGGGGGAGAAAACAGAGTGAGAAAGGTCACGGAAGCGGATCCTACGGCATTGTTTGTAAATTTGCAGAAGTTCCATCAGGAATGTCTCATGGCCAGGGCCGGATCTCACACAAGGCCAACCACGGCCCGGCCTCGGGGGCAGCAGGGAGTAGAGGGGCAGCAGGGGTGTGTAACTCCTATCTCCCGATGCCCGGGGAGGGTAGTTGTTTTCTACATGTAGCCCGGCTTTGGGCCAGCTAAATGCACAGCGGGGAAGCCACCGCTTGTACATTGTATGCAGCCTGCAGATTTGCCATTCTCCATTGGGGGGGGGCGTGGGGGTTGGCGGTTAGGGGGGGTGCATTGAGGAACATGGCCTTGGGGCAGCAGAGAGAGTAAATCCGGCCCTGCTTATGGCCTGGTCTCCATACTCTTGACTTGTGACGTTCATGCAGCCAGTCCATGCCGGGAACATCTGGACTTGAGGAGTGTAATTGTGGCAGGCTAGCAGCGCCCCCCGCTGGACATATTGCTAACTGCACCAAGGAGGGCATCGGTAAGCCTCTACAGCAGGGGTTGGGCCACCTCGGCACTACAACTACACGTCCCATGAGGCATTGCAAAGCCACGAGGCATGACTCCCACAGGCAGAGCCATGATGGGATTCGCAGTTTCATCACAGGCGCAGTGCCGAGGTTGCCTACCTCTCATGTACAGAATCCACTACCCAACTACCTCATTTAAAGGGGCCGTCCTGGTTTTAAGACCAAGTCCCTCTTTTTGGTTTGGTCTATAAACAAAAAGTATACTGCACTGAGAGGCAATAAACTTACCTTTCCGGTACCCTCCTCCCCCCCAGGCCACTGCATATATTCAACCCTTTTGTTGGGTTTACCCCCATGCATGCTGTGGTTCCTCCCACTGGTTCTGCAATTCAGTGGGTGAAACCACAGCATGCTGCGGGGTGGAGCAGGTATTTGACACACCAGGAAGTATATAGGGAGCGGCCAGGGAGAAGCAAAGCCTGTGGCGTAACAATCGCCATAGCGACCCAGGCGGGCGCTATGGGGCCCAGGGGCACGATGGGGCCCGACCAGATGCCGAGCGGACCGCCTGGGTCGCTATGGCATCCTCTGCTGGTGGCTTTCACTGGCGGCTCTGAAGAAGAATGCGCCGCTGTTCAGATCAGTGACCGTAAACTGTGCAGCGGCGCGTACGTCTCCAGAGCCGCTGTTGAGTCACTGAGAGCCAGCAGCGGCGGTGGAAGATGCCAGACCCGGCAGTGGAGGAGGAGGCGGAGCCCGTGGCCGACAGCAGGGGACGAGGCGGGGCCACAGTGACGGAGAAGGAGGCAGGCCCGGCGACGGAGGAGGCGGGGCCCATCAGCGAGCGTGGAGGAAGAGGAGGCGGACAGGTAAGGAGCGCGACCAGCCCACCTGAGAGTGACCCTGGAGAGCCCACCATATGGCGGGCTCTGCAGGGTCACCCTCAGGTGGGCTGTGTGGGATCTCAGGTGGGCTCTGCAAGGGGCGTAACTAGAAATCACGGGGGCCCCATACAAAATTTTGCTATGGGGCCCTGTGATTTCTAGTTACGCCCCCGAGCAAAGCGGCAACGTTTTACCACATGGGCAACCAAAAAGCTACGCGCATTGCCTCTTCTTCAGGACGTTCCTTCTGTACGGGGATCTACTCACTTGAGAGGGTACATTCGGAGGGCCACGTCCATCCCGGGGCAGTAAGACAGGAAAGCAGCGAGCGCGGTCTCTTCCAGGAGCCCAAATATCAAAATCTTGTTCCTGGGGGGGAGAGAGACGGGGGTCAGGTGAGAGGCGGTGACATCAGCACAAGGCCGTATCTACAACCATAGCCCCCTCCCCCCCTTGCTGCTGCCATTGCAAAAATGGAAATACGACACGCCCAGGTGGGGTTCACCGGATTCTAGATGGCTGCTGGCCCATTGGTACCCCCCCCTTCAGTCAAGGGGCGGAGTTACCGTGAGGGAGAGGCGCTTATAGGCTGCCTCTGCTCTATCAGCTAATAGGCACCTCGCGAAGGAGATGAGAGCGAGGTGAGCCGTCCGGAATCCGGAGAGTCCTGGGAAAGAGCGGCCACAAGGGGGGTTGGTGGGTGTCATGACCTAAATTTTTGACTTTCAGTCCAATTTTAGCCATTTTGTGTCCCGCCCCATCCCCCAATTTTCTTACTTCATGCCTTGCTGGAAGACGGAGTTCCTTCTGGTCTTACAGATGATCAAATCGGCCCACTGCACCACCACCACGCTGGAGAAGAACGCCGTGTGGCACGTGAACTCTACCACCTTCCGCTGCTCGTAGGTCTGCAAAAAAAATAACCAAGTTGCAGGAGATCAAATTAATGTTACGGCCTGACCTATAATAAGTGGGTGTCGCCCACATCGAGCCAATCGGGAGTTGATCTGGAGGAGTGGGCGTTCCTATGTACGTGCAGACCGCCCTGGGCAATGCCCACGTGTGTGTGTGTGCCTCCAGTCGGTGGAAGACGGGCTCCTTCAGCTTCCATACATACCCACTGTTGCCCGTAGCTGTCTTCTACGTCATTGGTCGAGCGATCGTCCCAGTCCAATCGGATGCCGAGCAGTCGGGACGGCAGGAAGCCGTTTTCCGCCAGGATGACGAAGTAGGTGAAGAAGCCGCCCAGAGCCTGAATCATGCCTGAAACGACAGAGATTATCAATGAGAAGGCGCCAACAAGGGCAGCGGCGTGCCCACGTATACATTGCATCTCCACGGTGAAGTGTATTCTGGAACTGCCACATGTTAGGTATATATAGAGCTTTGGATAGATTAGAGAGGGGTAAACCTCTGACTGCTGGGGGAGATTTCCCTTCACCTCCTGTCCCGTACACACAACAGGAAGTAAGAGGAAGTATTTCCAAGGTGAGGGGAAACCCTTTTAGCAAGGTGTCCCCCATTAGTAGATTTCTCCTCCAATCCTGTTCTAGTATTCTGGATTTCTCATGACACTCTGACAGTGGTCATCGCCGCAATACAGAGTGAATCTCACCAAACAATTGCCTACTCGAGCCAAAAATTAAACACACAGCTTTACATACACCCTGGGGTTTAATTATCACCAATGCGCAAAGCCGTTCGCCCTGTGAGACTTTACGAACGTTGGTTGTGTGTGAATAGAGGCAAAAACGAACGTTCATTGATATATTTTTCTTTTCAGGTCCAATGTTTGTAACGTAATACAAGATGGCCACTAGATGGACCCGAGGATCATAGGAAATCAGGATTTCCTCACTATGGCCACTAGATGGAGCTGGGGAGCATAGGAAATCAATACTTCCTCACTATGGCCACTAGATGGAGCTGGGGAGCACAGGAAATCAATGCTTCATCCCTTTGGCCGATAGGTGGAGCTGAGGAGCACAGGAAATCAAAACTTCCCCACTATGGCCACTAGATGGAGCCGAGGAGAACAGGAAATCAATAATTCATCCCTATGGCCACTAGATGAAGCTGAGGAGCACCGGAAATCATAACTTCAGCACAGGAAATCAATACTTCATCCCTATGGCCACTAGATGGAGCTGAGGAGCACAGGAAATCAATACTTCGTCACTATGGCCACTAGATGAAGCTGATGGATCATAGGAGATGAATACTTCCTCATTGTGGCCACTAGATGGAGCTGAAGAGCACAGAAAATCAATACTTCATTCCTATGGCCGCTAAATGAAACTGAGGATGATAGGAAATTAACACTTCATTCCTATGGCCACTAGATGGAGCTGGGGAGCATAGAACATCAATACTTCCTCACTATGGCCAGTAGATGGAGATAGGGAGCACAGGAAATTAATACTTTTATTCCTATGCTCCTTGGGGCCATCTTGCTGTATTACATGACATCCATTGGACCTGAAAATAAAAGAACGTTCGTTTTTGCTCCTGATCCCACAGAGATTGTACAATCAGATTGTAAGGTGCGTGGTGAGCTTAAGTCACGGATTCGAAAACAAGTATGCACATTATTGGTCCTGACTCCCCTCCGACTTTCCCGATCTGCTCGTCCCGGCTTCTCGGAGTCCAGAAACAGCCAGACGCTTTGCATTTTGCAGACGGTGGTCAGCACCAGCCATCCTCTGCGTCCCAGCGCAGGACCTCTTTAAGAAATGCGATAATTACCACCGCGGCTTCGAACAAAAACGCAGCTCATCAATTCAGCTTTCCCGCGGACACCGCCATCGCGCCGGCTGGGAGCAATTACGCGCAGGATGAAGAATTATTTCAGCGGCTGCGATGGAAAGGAAATCTCAACGATTAGGAGCCCGTCTATTATTATTCACAGGCAGGGGTACGTTTGTATGAAAAGCGCACGGCTCCCCGCGTCCGACGCGCCCCTCGCCGATCTCCGTAATCCTGCAATTAGGTCTGTAGGAAGGGCAATTCATCTCTGCGGCTCATACCGGCGCAACACAGTCAGCTGCCGCTCCAGAGCCGCGCTAATTAAAAAATGAAAGCGGGATCAGCGGCGGCGCATTCATCACCCGAAGCTGTGCGTGCGCTCATTGTGGATGCCGGGGGAGCGGTGAGAGGGACACTGCGGGAAGATTTTAGAACCTCCATCAAGATTGTATTGATGTCCCCTTGACAAAGATTTCACCCCACTTCCTGTCCAGGTGATGGGTGTCGGAGAGAACAGGAAGTGCAGAGAAATCTCCTCTACAGGGAGACAGGCAGCATTTAAAACTTGACACTTTTCCAGATCTATCCAATGTAGAGAGGACTGAGGACATCTTGTGGCCACCATGAGGTACTGCGGGGAAAGCTCTGGAATAAGGCATTCTGATCAGTCCTGTGAGTCCTCTTTAGTCTTCTTCCAGTGGTGGGTGGTCCTGGATGATGTTATGATGACATCAGCCTGAATGTATACACTGTGAGTGTGGGGTGTTATGCCTAGGGGGCGGGGCCATGACACCCTGCACTCAATGACTTGAGGTCATTCAACCCAGAAGACTTTGATATAAGGCATTCTGATCAGTCCTATGAGGCACTGAGTCCTCTTTAGTCTTCTTCCAGTGGTGGGTGGTCCTGGATGATGTTATGATGTCATCAGCCTGAATCAATACACTGTGTGTGTGGCGTATTATGCGCAGGGGGCGGAGCCATGACACCCTGCACTCCATGACTTGAGATCATTCAACCCAGAAGACCTCGATATAAGGCATTCTGATCAGTACTATGAGGCACTAAGTCCTCTTCCAGTGCTGGGTGGTCCTGGATGATGTTGTGGTGACATCAGCCTGAATCAAGACACTGTGAGTGCGGGGTGCCATGCTCAGGGGGCGGGGCCATGACACCCTGAACTCGCAGCCTCTTGTTGGCCACAAGATGCCCTCAGTCTTCCAGGTTGAATGATGCCCAGGAGACTGAGGACATCTTGTGTCCAAGAAGAGGTACTGTGGGAGAAAGCTCCATAATGAAGGGGTGGTGGTCTTGGATGATGTTGGGCAGACATCTCTCCGAATCAATACACTATGAGTGCAGGCTGCCATGTTCAGGGGGCGGGGCCATGACACCCTGCACTCACAGTCTCATGTTGGCCATAAGGTATCCAGGTTGAATGATGCCCAGAAGACTGAGGACACCCTATGGTCAACAAGAGGTACTGTGGGAGAAGGCTCCAGACTGAAGGGGCGGTGGTCTTGGATGATGTTGTGATGACATCAGCACCTCTTTCTGAATCGATACACTGTGAGTGCAGGGTGCCATGCTCAGGGGGCGGGGCCATGACATCCTGAACTCGCAGACTCTTGTTGGCCACAAGATGTCCTCAGTCTTCCAAGCTGAATGATGCCCACAAGACCGAGGACATCTTGTGGCCAAGAAGAGGTACTGCGGGAGAAAGCTCTAGACCAGTGGTGGCGAAACTTGGCACTCCAGCTGTGCCAAAACTACAAATCCCAAGATGCATCTGCCTCTGGGAGTTATGTCTGTGGCTGTCAGAGCCTTGCAATGCCTCATGGGACTTGCAGTTCCAAAACAGCTGGAGTGCCAAGGTTCGCCATCACTGCTCTAGACTAAACAGGTCTTGGATGATGTTGTGGTGACATCAGGACCTCTTTCTGAATCAATACACTGGGGGTGCAGGTTGCCATGCTCAGGGGGCGGGGCAGCGGTGTATTTACAAATAAAAAGCGCCGCCAACCGCTGCCTGCTGGACACCGCCGCAACCCGCCGTCCTCGTCCCCGCCGCTACGATAGCCTCCGGTTCTCTTCCCTTGATAAATAAAATTTATCAAGGGGAGAGAACCACAGCAAGTGCCGCTCTCAGGGAATCTGCCGCTCCAGGCAAACGCCTTGTTTGCCTCGCGGCAGATACGCCCCTGGGGCGGGGCCATGACACCCTGCACTCAAAGTCTCTAGTTGGCCACTAGGTGTCCTCAGTCTTTCAGATTGAATGAAGCCGTGAACACTGAGGACATCTAGTGGCCAACAAGAGGTACTGCAGCAGTTTGCAGAGACCTTGCCGGTTCTCTTGGAAGGTTTGCCGGACTCACCGATCTGCCCGTACGCCATGCTGATCAGGCGCTCGTTCACCAGTTTGTCCGTCCGGGGGTTCCTGGGCTGTCTTTTCATGATGTCGCTCTCGGCAGCTTCGTACGCCAGCGAGATGGCCGGGACCTAGTATGAGGAACAGGGGAGAAAAACCAAATCATGTGACAGTTCATCCCGCCATCATAATGTAAACAAGCGCGCCATGCCGTCATCGACCAGCAAAGATGGCGGCACTGAGCGCGCGTGGTATGAGGGCTGCCAGCGATAGGAGGCGTGTCTGTGTTGTCATCCAATGTGTCTATGTTGTCACCCATTTCTGTGTTGTCATCCAATCACCTTCTCCCTTCCGTTCTGTGAGTCTGGGTAATAGGTCTACAATGGCGGGCAGCACAGACAGTTCTCATTTCACCCCCCTTCAATAAGTGAGACTCGATAGCAGTCCGTACCATGTCCGTGCCGAGATCAATGCACAGGATGGTGACGGTGCCCAGCGGCAGAGGGATGTTGGCGATGATGAAGAGTAAGAACGGCGTGATCTCCGGAATGTTACTGGTCAGCGTGTACGCGATCGACTTCTTCAGGTTGTCAAAGATTAACCGGCCTGAGAAAAAGAAAATAGCCGATCATATAGCGCTGACATATACCGCGGCGCTGTACACGGTGACCTGGCGACTACAAACCTTCTTCCACCCCGGTCACGATGGAGGCGAAGTTATCGTCCAATAGGATCATGTCGGCAGCCTGTTTGGAGACGTCGGAGCCCGCGATGCCCATGGCCACGCCGATGTCAGCCTTCTTCAGGGCCGGGGAGTCGTTGACCCCGTCCCCAGTCACAGCCACAATGGCGCCCTGCAGGAGAGACCACAGAGAGGGAGCTCCGTCAGAGGCTCCCGCTATCGGTGTTCCCTGCGCCGCCACACTGCTTCACCCTTCAGGGGAATACTAGTTGCTTGGCTTTCATGCCCGTCCTCTGGCTTCCATACTGAGACAATTACTCTCGGACACAAGGTGAGCGCCCCCGGGGCGGCGAAGTGTACCTGTCTCTGGCAGCCCTCCACGATGATCAGCTTCTGCTGCGGCGAGGTGCGGGCGAAGACGATCTCCGTGTGGTTCTTGAGGATGTCGTCCAGCTGCTCCTGGGTGAAGTCCTTCAGGTCGGACCCGTGAACCACGCACGCCTTCGCCTCCCTGCGACGGAACAACAACAAAAAACACGCGACAGCATCAGCTGGAGGCTCAGTGTGTCACATGTGGGCGTCGCCTATGCAAATACAGCCCGGCTAGGAACGCCCACTGCCCCAGACGGGCATCCACCGCACTGCAGCTGCCAAGCTCCGCCCACTGTCAATTATTAGTCCAAATTTGGTAAAAAAAAGTGATATCAAATAATAAAGTTATTGATTGGTTGGATGAGGTTGGTTCACGTGTGTCGAGTGTCATGTGTAAATCAATGCGCCTGTATTAGCCTGCAGTACCTATAATCCGCCACTAGGTGGCAGCGCTGTTCTACCTTTGAATATACAGTATACATTGTATCCAGTTTACATTGATCCGGCTCAGGGGGTGTCGGCCTCCCTTGTCCCCCTCTTATATAGACTCCTCCTCTTCTGGCCATAGGTTTATCAGACAGCGCAGACAGCACCCTTACTGAACAAGTGCTGAGACAGCGTCAATTTAAAGGGCCAGGCACCTAGAGTATTCCGACTTGAGTATTAAGCTTTCCTTGGCTCCGGGTCCCGGTCATGTCACAGGATTCACCCGACTCACCTGGGATTCACCTGGTTTACTGGGATGTTCAGGCGGGCGGCGATGTCCTCCACGGTCTCGTTCCCTTCGGAGATGATCCCCACGCCTTTGGCGATGGCCTTGGCGGTGATCGGGTGGTCGCCGGTCACCATGATGACCTGGAAGGGAGGAAGTGGTTATTGGCCTGAATGAGGCTACAGACTACATCATGGGTGGGCAACCTCGGCACTCCGGCTGTGGTGGAACTACAAGTCCCAGGAGGCATTGCAGTGGCCGGACTTCCTTCTGAGCTTCCTTATGCAGCGAGTCACATGCTCCTCTGCTGGGCCGGACAGTGTACAGTCTATCCTACAGACTCACCCAGCACTCTCTCTCCCAGTCCTCCCAGTTCAAAGTAGGCGTTCTGGAAGGCGTCCTTCAACTCCTCGTCCAGCGGATGCTCCTGCCCGTGCAGCAGGATAGTGGAGCAGCGGTCCAAAATCCTCTCCGGGGCCCCTTTCATCACCAGCAGGTGGCCCTCTGGGCTATCCTCCCCTTCATGGATGGACAGCTGTAGAGGGAACAGAGGAAAGCATTGTCCCTTGGTGCTCCCAGAGGGTACCTGTAGTATTTATATTGATAGAGGGGGCAGGGCACCTACCTAGCTGTGCGGAGATGGGAATCTTTGTGCAGGAAGACTGTGAGCCTGGTTACCTATCTGTGTTGTGCTGTGCAGGGAGGCTATGAGCCTGGTTACCTAGCTGTGGTGTGCTGTGCAGCGATGGGAATCTTTGTGCAGGAAGACTGTGAGCCTGGTTACCTATCTGTGGTGTACTGTGCAGAGATGGGAGTCTTTGTGCAGGAAGGCTGTGAGCCTGGTTACCTAGCTGAGGTGTGCTGTGCAGGAAGGCTGCGAGCCTGGTTACCTATCTGTGGTGTACTGTGCAGAGATGGGAGTCTTTGTGCAGGAAGGCTGTGAGCCTGGTTACCTAGCTGAGGTGTGCTGTGCAGGAAGGCTGCGAGCCTGGTTACCTATCTGTGGTGTACTGTGCAGAGATGGGAGTCTTTGTGCAGGAAGGCTGTGAGCCTGGTTACCTAGCTGAGGTGTGCTGTGCAGGAAGGCTGCGAGCCTGGTTACCTATCTGTGGTGTACTGTGCAGAGATGGGAGTCTTTGTGCAGGAAGGCTGTGAGCCTGGTTACCTAGCTGAGGTGTGCTGTGCAGGAAGGCTGCGAGCCTGGTTACCTATCTGTGGTGTACTGTGCAGAGATGGGAGTCTTTGTGCAGGAAGGCTGTGAGCCTGGTTACCTAGCTGAGGTGTGCTGTGCAGGAAGGCTGCGAGCCTGGTTACCTATCTGTGGTGTACTGTGCAGAGATGGGAGTCTTTGTGCAGGAAGGCTGTGAGCCTGGTTACCTAGCTGAGGTGTGCTGTGCAGGAAGGCTGCGAGCCTGGTTACCTATCTGTGGTGTACTGTGCAGAGATGGGAGTCTTTGTGCAGGAAGGCTGTGAGCCTGGTTACCTAGCTGAGGTGTGCTGTGCAGGAAGGCTGCGAGCCTGGTTACCTATCTGTGGTGTACTGTGCAGAGATGGGAGTCTTTGTGCAGGAAGGCTGTGAGCCTGGTTACCTAGCTGAGGTGTGCTGTGCAGGAAGGCTGCGAGCCTGGTTACCTATCTGTGGTGTACTGTGCAGAGATGGGAGTCTTTGTGCAGGAAGGCTGTGAGCCTGGTTACCTAGCTGAGGTGTGCTGTGCAGGAAGGCTGCGAGCCTGGTTACCTATCTGTGGTGTGCTGTGCAGAGATAGGAGTCTTTGTGCAGGAATGCTGTGAGCCTGGTTACCTATCTGTGGTGTGCTGTGCAGGGATAGGAGTCTTTGTGCAGGAAGGCTGTGAGCCTGGTTATCCAGCTGTGGTGTACTATGCAGAGAATGGGGTCTTCATGCAGGAATGAATGCTGTGAGCCTTGTAGATCCTGCGGCTTCCTGTCTCATCTACCGATTAGCTCCACGCACTGGTGACACCCCCAGCTTCCTGCCCATGCACATCATCTTTTTCACCGAGCCGCAGGAGAGTTCTATACACTTGAGCAGAGCCGACTCCGAGGCGTCCCCGGCCGTCCCTCTCTGCGGGACGAGAAGACAACCCAATCAGAACGCAGATGTCCTCCATAGACCGCCACCACGGGCAGAAAACAGGTCAAGATAGGTCCTGACCGGGAAAATCGAGCAGCCAATAGAGAGTGAGGAGTTCGGTAACGCTTTGGCCGCGGGCTTATATGCTCCCCGTTCGTTCTGTGATCGGCAATCGGTTCACGGGGTCCTACGCGCACTTACTTTGGAAATGGGAATCTTGTCCTGGCCCCCTTTGAAGACGGCGCGGTTACAGAGGCCGGCGATCCGGGACAGGGAGGTCCAGGTGGGTGAGCGTTTATCGAACGTGGTGCCTAGGAGATAAGAACCAAAAAAGTTACATCGGTGGCATGACGCCAACGCAGACGGCCAACTTATGGTGCGAATATTGACTTCAACGATCTACTTTGGCCTCACCACCTTGGGTGCCGAAGAACCGGGTCTGGTGGCCTTCTGGGCATACAAAAGGTCAAAGCAAGAAGAAAGAAATCGGTTAACGTGGCCACGACCAACCTGACTGGTCCTCGGTGGTGTCCGCCTCGTGGATCTGGTTGTCAAACCACATGTGGGCCACGGTCATTCGGTTCTGGGTCAGCGTCCCGGTCTTATCAGAGCAGATGGTGGAGGTGGACCCGAGGGTCTCCACGGCTTCCAGGTTCTTCACCAGGCAGTTCTTGCGGGCCATCCTCTTGGCCGTGAGCGTCAGGCACACCTTGAAGGTCAAAAACAAAACACCGGGTCACGGGGGAGGGGCCACCTCAACACTCGCCCGATTTCCCTCTATGGTATCTCCCGCCAATCCTCACCGTCACGGTGGCCAGGAGGCCCTCCGGCACGTTGGCCACGATGATCCCGATGAGGAAGATGACGGCTTCCAGCCAGCTGTAGCCGAGGATGAGGGAAAGGACGAAGAAGGAGACCCCCAGGAAGACCGCCACGCCTGTGATGATGTGAATGAAGTGCTCGATTTCCGTGGCGATGGGCGTGCGCCCGGTGGTGAGCCCGGAAGCCAACGAGGCAATGCGGCCCATGACGGTGCGGTCGCCGGTGGCTAAGACGACGCCTCGTGCAGTTCCTATAGGTAAAGGGAAGAAGAAAAAAATACTTGTTCGGATTACAGTAGGACTGCACGGGAACTTTCTAGCGGCAGCACCGGCGCATTGGCAACCGCTCATCCCCAGTCACGCGGTGGTGCGGAAAATGTTCACCGGTGTTCCTGAAAAAGCTCACATAATGGTTGCCTGGAGACAGGTCCACTTTCAGGGCCGGTTGTATAATGAGTCCTTGGCTTCCCCGGCAGGCTGTTTTGTTTCCGCCGCTGGACACACATTCCGGGCCTTGTCCCCGTCTCCCGGCATCCATCATTCTTTGTTTGGTGGCTCTCCGGCCGGGAAACCCCGTCCTCACCTTCCACACAGTTGGTTGAGAAGAAGGAGATGTTCCGGGTCTCCAGAGGGTTTTCGTGGGTGAATTCCGGTGAGCGGGTCTGTGGTTCGGACTCTCCGGTCAGAGATGAATTGTCCACCTGGTGAGAAGATCTCAGATTAGATGCTCCCCCCGGGTGTCATGCTGCCGGTTCATTCTGAGTCCCTTTACCCTGCAGCGCAGATCATTACAATACAGTACAGAAGGGTGAAGGACGCGCCACACCCCCGATCTTTTATATGGGGGGAGGGGACACCTGAGGTTATATGAGCGGCGCTCAGGTCTCACCTTACAGCCATTAGCGGAGATGATTCTGATGTCAGCCGGAACTCGGTCGCCGCCTTTCACCTCCACCAGGTCGCCGGCCACCACGGCCTCGGCATTGATCTGCAGCTTCTCTCCCTCGCGGATCACCAGAGCTTGCTGGAACATCAGAAGGTGGAAGTGACGCAACCAAACCGACCCGAATCTGGAGAGAGGAGTCTACCGAATATCCCGATGTTCTATCTCTCTCTCTCTCTTTCCATCTATCTATTATATCTCTCTCTCTCTATCTATTTCTCTCTCTCTCCATCTCTCTATCTATCTATTTCTCTCTCTATATCTCTCTCTCTCTCTATCATATCTCTCTCTCTCTCTCTATCTATTTCTCTCTATCTATCTATCTATCTATCTATCTATCTATCTATCTATCTATCTATCTATCTATCTATCTATTTCTCTCTCTCTATCTCTCTCTCTCTCTCTCCATCTCTCTATCTATCTATTTCTCTCTCTCTCTCTCTCTCTCCATCTATCTATCTCTCCATCTATCTATCTCTCTATCTATTATCTATCTATCTATTTCTCTCTCTCTATCTCTCTCTCTCTCTATCTATTTCTCTCTCTCTCTTCCCCACCCCCCTCTCTCTCTCTCTCTATTTTCTTTCTCTCTCCTCCCCCCCGCCTCTCTCTCTCTCTCTCTATCTCTGTACCTGGGGCACCATGTTCTTGAAGGACTCCATGATCTTGGAGCTCTTGGCTTCTTGGTAATATGAAAAGCATCCGGTGACGATGACCACAGCGGCCAGGACGACTCCGAGGTACAGCTGTGGAAATGGTAGAAGAGGTTTGGACCCGGAGCCTCACTGAGGTCACACTGGCCTAGATTCATTGCAGAGTTATTCCCCCCCCCCTTACATTCATGTGTGAGAATTCACCAGCCGTTCTGAGATTGGGTCAGAACCGAATGTTCTTGGTGCCATTTCTCTTCTGGTCAAATGTTCTTCGGGTAGTAGTATCAATGGTTACATTTATGGGCTGCTTCCCTCCAGTGTTCTCTAGAATTGTTACATTGTATCTCTTCTCATCATGTATTTATTTCCTCTGATCCTCAGCGCCACCCAGTGGCCACAATGAGGTATTTCTCCCTATTCCCTCCAGTGTTCTCTAGAATCATTACATTTGTATCTCTTGTTACTACAATGTATTTATTTCCTCTGACCCTCAGCGCCATCTAGTGGCCACAATGAGGTATTTCTCCCTATTCCCTCCAGTGTTCTCTAGAATCATTACATTTGTATCTCTTGTTACTACAATGTATTTATTTCCTCTGACCCTCAGCGCCATCTAGTGGCCAGGATGAGGTACCCCCCCCCCTCCCTCCAGTGTATTCTAGAACTGTTACATTGTATCTCTTTATGTATCTATTTCCTCTGACCCTCAGCGCCATCTAGTGGCCAGGATGAGGTACCCCCCCCCATCCCTCCAGTGTATTCTAGAACTGTTACATTGTATCTCTTTATGTATCTATTTCCTCTGACCCTCAGCGCCATCTAGTGGCCACAATGAGGTATCCCCCCCCCATTCCTTTTTCTCTATGAATGAACCTATTTTTATGACCTCCCATTATATTCAAAGAACATTCAACCAGAAGAGAAAATAGACTAAGAACATTCGATCTCGCCCCAGTTGGGTAATCTGAATGCACGCGCCGTTTCAATGGACCAATAGCAATGCCAAACAGGCCCCCAAAGTGTTTAAAGCGACGGAACCCAAGAATGCATTTTTTTCTGTTATTCTGTTATTGTGGGATGGCACGTTGCATAGGTGATAATCGAACCTTAAAGGGACCCCGTCCCCTTGCCCACTCAGTTCAAGGTGCCAAGTCTCTTTGTTGCCAATCTCCGACCCAAGGGGGGCACTTTGTACTGATTTACACAGTGCCCCACCTGCTGCTCCTTCCATCGCAGTCATTGCAAAATACCTGGTCTTTCCGGGTATGGGGGGGTCAGCTGACCTCATGCCCCCATGATGTGGGGAGGCCTAGCTACCAATCACAAGGCTTGAATTGTGTCACGTGATGGGAGGTTGATGTCACCGCTTGCTGTAAGCTCTGACACCAGCCGACCTTGGGAACTGCGACACAGGAAGATTTTTAAAGGGACCATGTCACTTTAAAAAGAATGGGTGACAGGGCCCCTTTAATTTTGCCCCTCCCACAATGACTGCAATGCATTCCATCCCAACAGCTCACCTTCCCAGTACAGCTGTGTCTACGGAAGCCCCGGAAATGGCGATCTCGGGAACGGTCACAGCCGGCTCCGCCCCCAGTTGTTATTGTTTAACGACAGATCGGCGTCCCCAGCTCATTTGGGGCCGCTGATCTGTCGTTACAACTGGGCGGAGCTCAGTGAGATTGCGGCTGGCTCCGCCCAGCTGTCCTTTGCTGTGCGAAAGGCTGGCCTTTGGCTGGCCGCTCGCACCGCACTCTTTTAGCGCGTAACCCCCCCTTGTTCTTCATGCGCCATACTGACGTTGTCGTTGATCGGCTCGTCCTCCATGGCGATCTGAATCCCGTAAGCCAGGAAGCAGAGGAAGGCGCCGATCCACAGCAAGATGGAGAAGCCCCCGAAGAGCTGGCGGCAGAACTTCACCCACTCGGGGGTGGTGGGGGGAGGGGTGAGGGCGTTGGGACCGTCCTGGGCCAGGACCTCGGCGGCGCGTGCGTTCGTCAGACCCTGAAAGAAAAAAAGAAAAACGGAGGGAATGC